AATGCCAGTTGTCTAGTTGTGAAGAGGTGGTAAGTGCCAAAGAAGAAGGGAAAGGTGTAGCACGAAGTGTGAGAAGTAGGAGTTTGGACAAGGACGCGATGGCATTTCAATAGGGCAGAGACTGGGAAATAAGGCATTCTCCAGGCCCCCTCTACTTAGCTAGTGGAGACTCAGGTATAGTTTTACTTTGACAGTAAAAAAATTTTTTGCATGCTGTTCTTAAGTCAATGTGTATGAGACTCCAACGTGTTGGTGGAAAAGTGACATTAAAGACAGGGGCACGTTCCACGTCTTTCCGAAGCCCCCTTGTGAACATCGAAGGGACGCAGCCGATTTGGAAAAGAAGATGCTCTTTCCAAAGAGCCTTGTCCTCATTGACAGCATTTGTCTTCCATTGTGAGGGGAACAGAAGGAATGATCATCTGAACTTCAGTCAGGGCTTGTTAGGAACTGTTCGGTTGCTCTATTTAAATTATATATATATTCCAAATCCAAGAGAACTTTAAATTTAGCTTTATAGGTTTGTCACTTTGCAACACAAAAACTCACCTGCCCACTAATGTGATTGTTACAAGATCACAGGTCACATATAATAGCATGGCTGTTTGTATTTTATGTCTAGAGCAGCCAAAAGTAGTAGTGCTACAGTATGATATGTAGACATTTTATAACATCTGTCTGATCCAAAGGATACCTAGAGATTTTGTTCGATTTGTCTTGCAATAAATCACATGAGCCGTGTGTGTTTTTTCAAGTAAGGGCAGTTTGGATATTTATTGCAGACTTCAGTAATTCTGATCTTTTTTTCTCTGGATACTAAAAGTCTGGCCAATATCATAAAAGTGTCTGGGGGAAAATGTGGGGGGATTTTCATGTTAAACAATGCAGGTTTGCTGGAGGCAAAAGAAGACCTAATAAAAGCTGTGTCTGTCAGTAGCTTTCACTATCTTACATCCTTTTATACCCCTGACAAGATGCACAGCGACTGATAACACAAGATGGATGAGTACTTGATCAGAGCAAAACATACGTCCCCTTGATGTAGTGTAGATACAAATATCATTTCTTACTAGATGAAACTTTAAAGTTTCTTTCGAAGTATGGATTTTTATCATCCGTGCGTTGTGACTTACTGTATGAATGCATAGCTGTTGCCCACCTTCCCATCTCTCTCTCATTTCTTTCCAGAGAGACTGTTGGCACTGTAACTTTTAGCATGGTAGACCTTTCATGTGTAAGGTGCCAGCCCATCTTCGTTTAAATGATTGAATTTAATGCGATGCCTATTAACCTTCAGCAGAACTGCGCCTTCAGTCCTGCACAGGACCTTTACAAATAAAAATTACTTCATCAGCAACCTTATTTCATTTTTGAAAATGCGTCGCTCTAATTCCAAAACAATGATTTTGTCACCATTGTCGTCTTTGTTAGTTGCCATCCGGTCACATCTACCTCATGGCAGCCCCTTGAGTGCAGAGTAGAACAGCGCTTCGTCGTAGGGTGTTTAAAACTGGGACTTTCTGAAACATTTCACCAGGCCTGTCTCCGAGCTACCTCCGGGTAGGTTTGAACTACCAACCTTTTGGCCACTAGTAGAGCAGTGCACTGTTGGTGCTACCCAGGCACGACTTCTTGTGGCCATGTTCAATGACATTGTACTTGGAGCTTCCGTCATCTACTTTTCTGTGGGTTCGTGTCGACCTTGAATGAATACTTTCGAGAAGGATGCATGATTGCGTGATGATAATTCATTCAAGACATGCACTGATGCCCAAGAAGATCGAAGCTGAAAATGCAAAGCCATGGAGTAGGACCACCCACTTACGGTAGGTTTAAAGCGTCCGAGCATCACACCAGCTCTCCAGCAGCTTGTTAGGGTATTTACAGTTCTGCGGCTCCCACTCCGGGCCTTGGTTGTATTTCCTCGGTACATCTCCCACCCGTGGATCCTTTTTAACTTCTCAGCTTGGATCTATTCATTTCTGATTCAGAATATCGATCTATTTTTCCTTTCTGCTGACCTGCATATACATACCCCTGGGAAAACCCTGTTGGATGGTTTTCATTCCACAGAACATCAGGTGCCTGATCTGTAACAGAAAACAACTTTTGCTATTAAAAATATATAGACCCTTTTTTTGAACCCATGTTTTCGGAAGGAAAAGACTCATGCGTCAGCTATAAGTTCATTTTGAAAGTGTCCTGTGCTAGCATTTTGATATAAACCTTTGGTTTTGTTCTTGTAAACTTGGATCTCCCTCATAAACACATTTCTGTAGGGTGAAAATGGGAAAATCTGCAAGGAGATCCAGGGAAACCCACAACATCTCTGAACGGCATGGATCTAGCCCACTGCCGTAAAGTTGTCCCTTCTAGCTCACGGGCCTTCGCGGACAGAGGGCACTGGCCCCATTGGGTTTCCCAGGCCTTCATCTCTTCACTTGCTTCATGTGCCTGGGAAACCTGGGCCAGGACTGTGGAAGACATGATGAACTGAGGCATTTGAAATCCGTGTTCGTGAGGACAGGCAAGATGCCGCAGACTGCCGGAGGAATGAACACATCTGTCTTGGAAGAACAGCCAAGGATGCTCCTTAGAAGGGAGGAGAGTGAGGCAGCATCTCGTACCCACTTTGGATTGAATCCCGAGAAAGACCAGTCCCTGAAGACAGGCATCGTGTTTGGTCAAGTAGAAGGGCAGCAACAGAGAGGAAGGCCCTGAACGAGAAAGATTGACAGAGAGGCTGCAACGATGGGCTCAGACATCGGAACGATGGTGCAGACTGGACAGGATTCTGTCCTCTCGTTCGTAGGGTGACTGTGAGACAGAGGTGACTGTGTGGTACCCAACAATACGTACAGAAGACTGCCACATGCTGCCGGGGTGAGCCATCCAAGTTTCACTTCGCCTTCAAGGCTTTAATGAAAGCACGGTCATTTGAAGAGCCGAGCAGGGACCTAGACAGACATGCCCAGCGCACTTTGGACGCCTCGGGCTTTTCCCAGGATGAACCCAGAGATCACAAAATTTGACTGCCAACCCTTGATGTGACCCGAGCCCCTGCCTGTTGCACAGACAGACAGACATCACTGTTCAAAGTCGGGGGAAGCTTGAAAAGGGGGTGAAAGATCCCTAGAAGTTAGCCAGTCGCAGGGTTACCTGGGTTAGATTTCACCGACTTGCTTTCAGTTCCGTGTTAGGTAGACTGGAAGCAGTGCAGGTTCTTGAGGCAGCCAGGCTGAATGCCAGGTGTGTGACTTTAGAAAACTGAGCTAGGCTCTCCTCGTCTCCATTGTCTTATCTGTAAAATAGAGCTAGAAATACGCTCTGGCAGGGTGACGATGCATGGGAACCAGGAAGCACATGCTCGCACACAACCAGACCTCATTGTGTCACCATCGTTACGCTTATTCTAGAGCCTTTTGTCTGTGATTTAGCTCTGTGCTGCCTTCTCCATAGACCATGTGCTGCCACCTCTGCTTGACTTCATTAGCAAGCACAATCAAAAACAAACTACTGAGTAACTTGTTTGCTAACCACAAGGTCAGCAGTTCAAAACCACCAGTTGCTCTGCAGGAGAAAGACGAGGCTCTAAATTGTGGTCTTAAGGTCAAGTTTAAAAGCAGGGAAACACTAGTTTCTCAAGTGTGGATGGCAGAATTGATTCAAGGGCCCATCAGAAAATCCTGTGTGTCATTTTGCTGGGCAGTTTTGCTGTAAGGGTAACTGGGAAATGATGCCCCTGTGTTAACCTTTCCAGGTTTAAAGACAGTGGTCTAAAGTCATCTAACCTCAGATTTTTCAATAAAACCATTTGCCTCTAGTCAGACATCTAGCTGGATTATGAAGCTATCACATGAGGAGCAAAATCGAGTCGAGTCAGATGCATTTGAATGGTGGCGCTGGAGAAGAGTATTGGAAGGACCATGGACTGCTAAGGACCATGGACACAGCAGTCAGTGCTGGACGAAGGAGGACCAGAGTGCTCCTTAGGGGCAAGGACGGCAAGACTGTGTCTTATCTACTTAGGACAAGTTGTCAGGAGAGACCAGTCATGGAGAAGGCCGTCATGCTGAGTAAAGTGGAGGGGCAGCAGGAAAGAGGAAGGCTCTCAACGGGATGGATGGACACAGTGGCTGCGTCAGGGGCTCTGGCAGAGGGACGGTTGTGAAGGTGGCGCAGGACCGTGCAGGGTTTGGGTCTGCTGTGCAGAGTCTCCGGGGGCCGGGCCCGACTCGATGGCACTGAACAACAAGTTTGTTTGCATCCCAAATAAAATTAACTTCAGTGAATTGAAACTTTTTTAATTTGTTGAAATTAATTTCAACAAATTAAACTTTGATTACAGAATCAAAAACATTCAGCATTCACCTTAACCACTATCTGAACCGCACAATCCAGTTTTTTTTAACCACACATAACTTTTAAGCTCTCATGGACACCATTAGGGCAGCAGCCCTGGTGGTTAAGTGTTGGGCTACTAATCACAAGGTTGCCAGTTCAAACTCAGAAGCCAGTCTACAAGAGGAAGATGAGGCTGTCTGCTGCTGTCAAGATTTACAATCTCCTAGGCTCTGCCGACAAGTTCTGCTTTGTCCGATAGAGTGTATGCATCGGAACTGACTCAATAGCAGTGGGGTGAACAGTGTGTGTGTGTGTGTGTAACTGACTTAATAGCAATGGGGTGAATAGTGTGTGTGTGTGTGTGTGTGTGTGTGTATACCATTACTTGATCCTGTATTGCTGTACTTTTGACTGTGTGTCATTTAAAACACAAGTATTTCTAACTCTTTTTTTGGCAGGAAAGGTGGCGATTGAAGCTTACAGGAGTCAAAAAGCAAGCTAAAGAATCCCAGCGTTTTCTTCTCTCCAACTTGAGTAGCACGCATCTCTTGGGAGACGCAGTTGGAGCCATGTTCTCTCTCTCTGGATTAATGTCGATTGTAGAGTTGCTCTGGAGAGTGCAGTAATGAACTTAATTTATCCTGTCTGTTTTCCAGGCCCTGTAGGAGTAGGGTTGAATGAACTGAAACGAAAGCTGCTGATCAGCGACACGCAACACTACGGGGTGACCGTGCCACGTAAGTGCTGCCACTAGTGCTAAGAATGTCCCCACGCCCTTACATAGCTTAACTGGGGCCAAGCACTGTGCCTGGCCTTCTCCTGGGCAGACCACGCCGGGAGCCTGCGCTGTATGTTTTATAGAGGCCACCAAGACACGAGGTTCTGGTGGCACAGATCGTGGACAGGTGATTTGCTCATCAGAGCTTTTCCGTTCTCTCGGATTTTCATGGTGTGTTTGAGCGCGCCCTGCGGCAGCATGCTGATGCGTTGGGTTGCCAACGGTGAGGTTCCAGTTTGAAACCACCCACCGCTCCACGGGAGAGAGATGGCGCTTTCTACTCCATAAAGAGTCCCAGAGGCTGGCGGAGTCAGTTCTCTTCTCCCTGCAGGCTCCCTATAAGTAGTCATTGACTCGGTGGCAGTGTGTGTGTGTGTGTGTGTGTGTGTGTCTCTCCCTATAAGTAGTCATTGGCTCGGTGGCAGTGTGTGTGTGTGTGTGTGTGTTCCAAGTGCCACTTATAAGTAGTCATTGACTCGGTGGC